TTATTATATTTTATTTGCTTATGGAGAAATTGGATTATTCTTTAGGATATGTTAGTTGTATTTCTGGATTTTTTTCAATACAATTGTTACCCAAGCAACAGCGATGTACATTGTTGTTAACGTCAACAAGTGTTGTTTCTAAACTCAGCTAGTTATTAAGCAGAACCAGAAAGATATATTGTAGGCATAGACTAGTTAATTTTGCTGCATGCATTAAATTCTTGTTTGTTTAACTAATCAATCTGTTCATGATATCCACATTAATTTGCGTCGATATACCATTTATTATGGAGAGGGTTGTGTAACCAGTGTACTAGACAGGAGTGATAGTACGGTTGTTTCTTAGCACTTTCTTTTGATGCGCTTTCTATTGTAACAAACAGCCTTCCTTATTCTAACTTCGACATTCCTTCCATCATTTGAACCCATCCCACCTTGTTACATCTCACAACTCATCGTTCTTTAATACTGTGTTCTTTCATCCGAGGACTTCAATGACATTGCGCTCTAGCAACAACAGATGGTACGAATTTTACCTACTAATTTATAGAAATTAGGTATGATATCATACCTTTGTCAATTCCATTGCAAACTGTCAGGCATTGTCTTCAGTTTACATCCAAGCTCCCTTCCGCCCTTTGTTCCTTATGTTCTTCAGCATCATGTTCTAAGTGCACACATATGAAGGTTCTTGTTGCCTGAACTACATTTGACGCACGCGTTCCTCAAGGTCACGGTTCATACCAAGCGCCGTTCGTATGTACTTTATGACAACTATAAACCTAATTAAAGGTTATATTGCACAAATACTTGGTACAACCAGAACTCTCACACAACAATAACGAGTTCGAACCTGTTGCGCGGTGCCATTTTCGAACCCAATCATTAACTCTTTTGGACAGCTGCTCGAAAGCATTGTCTTTATTTATTGATTTCATCTACTTAACGACCATGCTTGGGAAGCATACGATGTGCAAACCAATGTCATAAATTGTAGATCGTTCATGTATAAATGGAGTGTACCTACCCTGGCAGAAATGAATAATTATACCACATTATATATTAGTTAGTGAGGCGGACACAGCCACATGGGGGTGCGATCCGTGTTCAAATGACTCGTGACGGACTGAGCTTCCTGTCACTAATGGCAAACAGATGAAACACCATTTTATTTATTCTCACAATAAGTGTCCGTAGATGTTCTGTTTTCATCAACTGTGGATCCCGTCCCACAAACTCAGTCCAGTGCAGTTGCATTAGTAATGAGTAAATGAGAATATAATTTGTTTTTCCCTTGATATTGGTGCAGCAACCATATGGATACCATTGACAGTTTCGTGTGTTCAGTTCAGCTTCCGCGTGTTAGTTCAGTAGTCGTACGTTCACTATGTTTGAAAAAGACTGTGTAGCAGATGATTGGACTTATACGATGAGAAGCAATACAAACGTTTTTTATAAGTTAATTGACAAGGGCCACTGCTGTTTATCATCTCCCATATTTGTTTATGGCTGTGCTGCTGTATCAGGTTCCGTAGCAAACTGAAAAATTCTCAATGGAATCACTCTGATACGACTAGACAGTCTTCGTGGTGTTGTATTTTTTCATATTCAAAAACGTTTTACCTGCACTTGAAAAGCTGTTGATAGCAATTCGTAAAGAAAAACCAGTTCGGTGAGGCGTACTACTTAGAAATATTTCTGATGCTCTAAACCGTATTTTGAAACTGAAAACAAGTTGTATATTTGGTCTAAACTGATGTACATCATGCACTTCGATGGGCTTACGAGAATATTTGAGCGACGACGAGTTGAAAAGAAACATTCAAGTTCGTGATAATTAAAACTGTAAATTCCTGATATTCTACAAGGTGAAGAAAGTGGATTATGTCTCAATAAGTTATCTCAAGTCTCCTACTGAATGCGCTAGATCCTGATCAAGTGTCTTGTTACCTTCTCGAGGTAGAATGCTAGATAGATTGGCAATAGTTATCTTCTAGTTACCAAAAATGACATGGACTGATTAGATGCTTGCATCCACTGTGGTGTTGATAAAATATTCGTGTTAAGAACTGTTGGCTTTGCAGCTTCTTTCCCATTGCTAAAAGCAGCCTTGGATGGATTTGACGGCTCCTCTATTCTGGAGAAGTTGGTTTGCCATAGTTCTAACAGAAACCACAAACTTTGGAGTGAATCGGAAGTAGTAATTTATCAGTTAGTTAGGCGTGCTTATTGGCCTGATGGTTCTCGTTTTTAACCATTCCAAAATTTTCACCCGCTTAATTTTCAGTGGGTCAGTTGACTGTCTCAAACACTGTTCAGAAATTTGGGATGGGCAGGGTAATTTTATGCCTCCAGTGTAGCTTGAGTCTTCTATAAGCCGAACGTACGAACTAGTTCGTTTTCAACCATTAGTACACCTTTAAGAATACAGGTTGTCCTGTTATTTTGATGAGATATGTGACACTAACGATTACTTCTGACGACTTCGTCAGTAGCCGAGATAACTAAAATTGTCAGTTTCCTGTTTATCCCATTTTTCAGCCGTATACTTGATTTCAGCTTGCCATGAGGTGCAGCCAGAAAACGGTGTCCTGGCTTCGGGTTTACTGGCCTCCGGTTTGCTAAGTGGGAGAGTGCATTGTGATGTTCTAGTGAGTTTATGCCACTGACAGGCAATAAAGCAATAATCAGTATAGTGTTGTGGAGATTGTTGAGTTTTATTCGAGATCATGAAACCGCCGTTGTCAGAACACCATTGAAATTCTGAGTGCACTGGACGGCCGCTTCGTCCTATTATGTGACGGTGCGCATCCAAGATTCCACTGACAGGACTGGAATCTAGGATTTTTGGTCTTACGCGCGAACGCTTAACTTCTAAACCAATTAGCCGATATCCGACGGTGGTAATGTCCAACTTCAACCAAGCAATTGCTAGAACGAAAACGTCATATGTGGGCTGATATGGCCTTACCTGTGGGTTGTCACCTCTTTTGTAACCCTATATCCCTTGTGAACAGATCATGATTAAATCTACTAACATATGCATGGTAACTTTTGCGATTAGTTCCTTAATTGTGGAAAATGCTCTTCTCTCGATATCATCCGAATTGATGAATTTCGCATTTCCACGAAGTTGGTCGGCTAGAGTATTCGTAATTTACTAGCAATTTGGTATGAACCGTCTGTAGAAGCTTACTAGTCTGTTAAACGTCCGTAGCTGCTTGATTGTCGTCAGTTCTGGGTAATCCAGTATGGCTGCCACTTAGCTTTTCAGAGGTTGGATGCACTAAGCATCAATTGTATGTCTGAGGAAATATAAGGGGCGAATTCCGATTTGACATTTCTGAATGTTTACTGTAATGCTGTGCTTTCGTAGTCCTTCAAGGACAAGGTCTAGATACTGGAGATGAGATTCTTTGTTCTTACTTGCAATCAGGCAGTCACCAACATACTCATGCACGAAGTTGAGACCTCGAAAAAATCATCAATGAAACTTAGGAAGATTTGGGTAGCATTTCTTAAACTGGTAGACATGTGCAAAAACTCGTAGAGTCCGAAACGAGTGACGATGGATACTTTGAGAATATCGACAGCAGCCATAGGAGTTCAGTTGTATTCTTTAACCAAGTCGATTTTCGAGAAAAAACAGTTGAACCTTTCAAGGTAGTTGTTAAAACGTGGATGTGAGGCAACGGGTTGTCGCATTCAATCGCCAAAAGTCACCATTTGGACACCAATCATTGCTGTCCTTTTTAGGGACCATGTGCAAGGGAGATGCCCATGGGCTATTTGATGGCCGAATGATTCACAAATCTATCATGTGATGGAAATCGTTTTTAGCCAACCTTAGCTTTTCGAGAGCCAGTCGGCGCCCTTTTAAGAATACAGGTGATCCTGTAGTCGTGATGTGATGTGTAATATTGCTGGTTAAAGACGGCAAGTTCAGCTGCGTTTGGTACATTTCAAGGTACTTATCGAGTATATATTGGCAGTATGGATCGATCGTGTATCCTATTGTGTTTGGGGATGATCTACAACCGGAAAAGTACGTTACACAAACAGATAAATTATTATTTCCGTCTACTAACCTCCGTTTGCGCGTGTTGATGAGTAAATTATGATGTTGCAGCAGGCTTATACCAATGACTGGCATAGAAACAACTGCAACAATGAAAATCCAGTGGATGAGTTTGTGTAAACTTACGTTAATATAGACGTACCGCTTATCATATGTAACGACCGGTTTCCCGTTTGCCGCCTGTAAGTTCGAAACCGATTCATGCAGTCAGTCACTGGAATTCACTAGAAGAACGGTAATTTCTGCTCTAGTACTGACGAGGTAGTGTTGGTACCCTATGATCTGAAGTCTTCAACTAACTGCGCCAAAAATGCCTTCCGAGCAAGCCCTACACTGATAACTTTGAAGTGGATTTTTTGTTAATTCGGCGGTGAAGCTTTGTAGCCGACCTTTAAGAGTTTTATTCGACCTTATTTAGAGTATTTAAACATAGCTTTTCCTCCTACACTCCAAAAGGATAAGGATACATCGGAACGTGTCCAACAGCGAGTCACGAAATCAGTTCTGGAACTCAAATTCAAGACTTATGAAAAGAGCCCCAAACCATTAAACCTTTGCTCATTAGGGTATAGGCGCCTTGGGGGAGACCTTTTAATGACTTGCAGCATCCTTAACTTCTTGAACATCCCCTTCAATCCCTACTTAATCTGAGTTTAATCACAAACCCTAGGGGTAACTCACAGAAACTGGAGACACAACACAGCAGAATAGACTGTAGGCACACCTACTCATTAGGAATAGTCAGACGCTGTCGGTTGAGGTAGTCCAGGCGACTTTTCAGGAGTTCTTCAAGTGAAAACTTATATATTCTTGAAGATTAAAGACAGTATCTTGCCATAATTTATCGATGTTTTCTTGCCTTTATCGCTAAATGTACCTAAGTTCTTACATAGTGGCATTGGTGATCCACTGTTACTAGATACGGAAGTCGGTTTAAAGGAAGCTTTTTCTATTCCGTCCAGAACCATTTGGACCAGGTGAACATTGGAAGCGGCTTTTTCAACTTCGCTGAGATCTTACTGTGAGTTCGTTGGTTCTTTTATATTCTCTTTCTAACATGTCAGAATATGGCAAAAAAGTCTTACGACGCACTGTTTAAAATTCTACTTATTGGAGATTCTGGTGTTGGCAAAACTTGCCTACTCGTTCGTTATGTAGAAGAGTCTTTTGTACCAACCTTCATTTCGACAATAGGAATCGATTTTAAGATCAAAACAATTGAGTTAGAAGGAAAGAAAATAAAGCTTCAGGTAAGCCGAATCTTAGGGATACCGATTGAATGAAGATATGGGATACTGCAGGCCAGGAACGCTTTCACACGATTACTTCCTCTTACTATCGTGGTGCTATGGGTATAATGTTGATATACGATATTACCAGTCGCCAAACGTTTGATAACATCCAGACCTGGATGAATAGAACTTTTTCTTTAGCATCAAACGAGGTTGAGAAGTTGCTGATTGCTAATAAGTGTGACATGGCGCATAACCGAGTTGTATCTTATGAAGAGGGTTGGAGAAAAGCAGAGGAATATGGGGTAAAAAGAATCCTTCGCTAATAATTTTCTATAGATTGGTTTTCTGGAAACAAGTGCGAAGTCATCAACAAATGTACACAAGGCCTTCGAGGATTTAACTCGCGCCATCCTCCATAACAGCTCTATACGTAGACATGAGTCATCTACGGTGACTCAGGTCCACCGGTTAGTCGAACCTCCGAATTCCATTTCTGGAACATGCTGTAGTACAGGATAGTCCTTCCAGTGATTATTTTCCTCACCGTTTTCCTTTCAATATTAACTTATAGTAATGCTTATAAATACAATGTTACGATTCATCATAAGATCCATATTTTCGGCCTCCAAAAGACATTCAGAGTTTTAGTTTCTGTCGTAATTTTGGTTTAATCTTTGTGTAGAGGTGCTTCTGTCATATTCTGGATCTACGATTTTGCGTTCGGTTGTGATGATACACTTGCGCTAGCGTTGAAATTCCTTGTTATACAACACTAAATGTTTTTTCATCTCATATGAAACCTACAAAGCCAATTAGTCACCATTTACTTTTTAAATGTAAATATATTTGGATTCTTATATCTGACTTTTTGTCTGCATAAAACCACTTATCTATGTCTCTCGGCTTCGAGTATATGACTAGTTATTTTGTTTCATTTTGTGTTTCTTGGAATTGTACTAAGATTGCTTTTATTTACTAACTTTCCCGTTCATCATTCCCTACCTTCACAATCCACGTGGTGTATATGTTGATTTTTGGGGGTTGTAAAAGTAATATTAAAAGAATAATTAAAGCCAAGTACTTATATAATCTCACGGTTTATCGTTTCTTATACCTAGTTTAGCATGTCGTTTATATAGGGTTACTGATGTGTACATAATACTACAGAGTTTATGAACTTTAGAACCATATCTAATGCGAATACATATACTGGTCTTAATTTTCATATCACATCGTTACATCAGTACAAAACTGAAAAGGAAAAAATATGGAATTAAAAGTACTTGTGATCCACACTTACCACTTTCTTCCAGTTACGTTTGATGGTGTTGACGAAACCCTAAAAACCTTTTGTATGAAGTTTACTGGCGAAATGCTTGCAGTATGACGATAAGGCGTCTTTTATCTCTGCTTCGATAACTACCTAGTTTATACCATAAAATTTGAATGTGTGGATTTGAGTTTCAATCTACCTCAGTGTTAAGATTGCATGCACAACTTTTTACTGATTGATGCAGTTCATAATCAGAGATAAAACGAGATAAACTCGGTTGCTTAGTGGATGTGGTAAGTAAGTCTGTCTAAAGTTAGTTTTAGTTTCGTTTGCTATATTCGTACATAACTCATTGGAGTCACTTTTTTGTATATTGAAACCGGCGGTTGACTGTGTTCTTTAAAAAGTAATCTCTTCGTTTGAAAACATAGTCTTTGGGATTGTAGGTCCAAAAATCGTCAATGAGACTCCTTTCTCACCTTCCACCGTATGTTAAGATTTCTATCTTACATTTTTTGATGATTCTTACAAATCGCCTTCACGGTAGCCGGCTTTTTAGCATACTTAGGAAAAGTACTCCTGTATTGGGAGATTATTATTCACTTGATAAGATCATTGAAATTTAGTGTGTCCTACACATCACAGACCGAGTGCTTTCAAAGTAATTTGAATTTATAGTGAAATAATTGTATTTTAACCTTATCCTACTATGTGTGTGTACTGATGCACTCTTATATAAATGTGGAAGAGCTCTGTGCAACCGATTTCAAGGTACTTTTCTGGAGGCTTTTGATAACGGTATCCTTACTATCAGGTAGTCTCTTTGTACTAGTTAGTCTATATTTGCTGTGTTAAACTTATAAATCATAGCTTCCTGATCACCGTGAAGTATGTGAAAATTTTTGACGAGGGATTCGCAGTTCAATCACCTTAAATTGTATTTCGGTTTTGAGCACTTAGCAAAGTTTCATCGAGCTAACACTCGCTAGATCTTGTTCTGGTTTTTAACATTGTTATTTTCTATTCTGGTAATAATGAAGACTAATAATTTTGTGACTATTTAAAAGCTAATTGTTTTTAATAATTGAAATGATATTCTAGTTCTACCAAACAGTAAATCTACAATTGCAATGTGTGTACCCATGACTTTTCTTTGGTATAAATCCTATTAAATCTCAGTCTTCTAAACTATGGGGAATAAAACTCGGCATTTCCCTCTCAATGTGTATACACCTATCCTCGTTGCTTTGTTTGTTACACCCTTCTTTATATTGTAGGATTTTACCAAACTAGTGTTAACGGTGTTCCTGTTCAACCCTTAGACGTCAGTGTTTGTGTGCTCACAAATATGCGGATAGTTAAGTCGTTATCATGCTGAAATAATGGTAGGAATTACAAAGTCGTTCCGACCCAACTGTTGCTGAGGCAGTTTTCTCATTTTTATCGGTACTCATCAGGTAAAATAACTAGAAATAAATAAATACATAAATAAAGTATCTAAATAAAACCACAGGTGACTTTGGATGCAGTATCATAAATAAACACACATAGTAAATTAACCAATCCACTCTAAAATTGCTAATATAGTTACTATTTGGTCTACTAATTAAAATGCCTTAATATTAACTGTAAACAGGAGTAATTTTACCACCAAGAGAAAATTGCGAAGCCCGCCTCCTGTAACTTTTACTGTTACAGCTCTGGTATTTCTTGATGGTTTTATGTTGTTTGATCCCATAACTTAATGAAATGTGGAGATATGGATTTCATTTCCGATCAGATGACTTTTATCACAAGAGCACCTGATAGATAACTAAAGGAATTGGATATTTTGCAGGTAAGTTGCTATCTATATCCTACCGTTATATGTATAACTGTTGACTTACGTCTTGGCTTTTATGAAAAGCTTTTCTTAAATGTCAGTGCAAATGTTGGGTTGCTTATATTTGCTCATCCCATTTGAGCTTAGTGGTAAATGATTAAAATCACGTTTAATATTATTTGACAGATTTTTTCACTTGCACGAAAATGTGACCGACCGACTATCATAAAGTTACTAACCCCGTTTCCTACTTACTGACCTATGAAGTCCAACTCTTACGCTGATCAAATTATTAACTGAATAGTGGTTTACATGTTAAAATACTCGGTTTCTAATAAGTAGATCTTAAATTCGGTCCCTACCTCACTTGTGATTAGGTACCCAGTTACTATTACTAGCTTTCATACTTAGAGTGTAGTTTGAGTGAATGACATGAACATGTACTTATTGTATGAGTTAAACTAGTATGCTTTATTCTAGTTTTGTGTCTAGTTGTTATGGAAATGGGAGATATGTAATCACTCATATATGTTCATAGTATTAAGTGACATAATCACTATGTATTTAATTTTCTAACAAGTTCACTGGTTGGAGTGAAAAATGAATTTTTCCAACGTTCCGTTTAGTAAGTGATTGCTTAAAATTCATATTTCTTGTTGTATTGAAATGTTTTCGTAATAAATAAACAAACATCTATATCATTATTTCTTAGTACTCATAGTGTGGTACTTATTCATTTTTCCACTAACTTTTCATTTGTGATATGCTTTAAAACCAAACACACTTATAAATCCTTTTGAGTATTAAAATGGTCACGATCGCTTGACACATTCAACATTTAAACTTTTTGATTAATTTCTTGAAATTATTTTTGATGCAGTTATCAGTGATTAGAGATAGTTGAGTTATTCCAAAGCATGAGCTAAATAAAATATCTTGTTTTGTGTGTAGAATGTTTCCTTCTAAATAGGTGAAAATAAGAACGTCCGTCACTCGATAAATACAACTTGGCATAAATGTGTATTAGCTAAATTTGCCATGTAAGAACATCGTGGCTGGTGAAGATTAAAAAAGATACCAACCAAGGCAACGGAAACGATAGTAGTTTATGATTTTGAAAATGACTGTGTAGTGAATATAGTTTGAAACGAAGGACTGTATTCACGGAACAAAAAGCATAAAATAATATTCAAACTCGAAATCTAGTGGATTCCAAAGCTTGAATGCATTTGTGCCACCACGATCGATTTTGAGCTGTGTCAGTTATAGTCTTCTAATTTTGATCCGGATCACCTCATCCATCCAGACCAAGTAGCTTGCACTTTCCTAAAATATTGATCAACAATATATATAATGTTATTCACCATACATAACTAATTGTAGAATCAAAAGATTTGGGTAAGTACAATCACATGCCATTAGCGTAATTAAATGATTATAGAAATCAAATCACGATATGATTCAAAAACACCTAAATAACATGTATATTATGTGTGTGTACGCATACAGGTATTCGTTTATAGATAAATCTATGCACATTAAAATATGTAAATCTGCACTTACGATGCTTCTAAGTATATATATATATATATGTTTTATGTGGGGTCATTTGAAAAAGCGCAAATTTCGACTGATCAGAATGAGAGTGAAAAGAACTACTTATCGATAACAAGCATAGACTCGAATTCAATAAATTATTATATATAGTTCAAAGAAACTATGAACATAAAAAGGCAAAATTTGCCACGATACCTCATGATTATTCATAAATTATTACGCAGTAATGATAATTTATAAGATACCAAAAACCCACTAAAATGCAATCAATATTTGGAATATTTTACCTAGTTTTTGAAATAGACTGGATAATGAAATATATAAAACTACCACATTGTAATCACCTCACGTGGAATATTTATTTGGAAGAATTTACTTGACAGAAGTAATTATCGATAGACATACTAGATGTTATGTAAGCGAGTATGTTTATTTAATTACTGAAAATAATTTTATTGTAGGCTTATATACTCAGCTCTGAACCATTGTGAGGAAGAGGGCTGATAGTACTACTCAGCTGTTTAAACAAGTAGATGTTGCGGGGTTTAAACCTTTGACCTAATGACTAGAAGCTTGAATATTTAAACCGGTAAAATATATTTTAAGTGTGTAAAATATATATGCAAATATATGCAATTCATATACATTCCTTAGCTAATAAAGTGCAGTGAATCAAAAATAGTAGAGTAATGGTAGAAAAGATATCTAGCTCAGATGGATGTTTTTGTAACGTAAACCATGCCCACTTAATACTAATGGTAAAATCGACGTATTTGAAATTGAAGAATACCGGTTTTTATTTGTCATAGCACAATGATCAACTAGACAATGAAGTTTGTTTTGTATTTATAATGTCGAATATTTGATTTTGAAATGTACTAGATACTGGCTCATACCAATTGATACTGAACTCTAGATTTACATTTAGGATTATTGATATTCATTGGAAAAGTATTATTTTTAATATCAAAAAAATTTAGTCTCGTTAAGTTATGTTCAGTAAAATGAATAATGAAATAGAGAAATGATTCTTTTCAGTTAGTTTTTCATCGTGGCTCCATATATATATCAGTAATAATACAATGTACCAGCCATGTAATGTTGTGCTAGGTAATAACACAAATTCAATTGTGAGTGCTTATGAGTGAATTCCGCTTGAAGTGAACCAATAGAGAGACGTATCTAAACCTCAATTCACGTTTCGGCATTGTAAGAGCTAATTCTCACATGCATGTTGAATGTTCACCTTTGACTCAACAAAAAAGCACTATAAGTACTGGTAAAGTGTACCCATGGGATCACTATTGCATCCTCTCCTGACAGATTTTTTTTAACAAAACTGAAAAGTGGATCGTTTAAAAATATAATTAATCAACTAAAGTTTTACAACTGTCAGATTGATAACACTCATATTATTGGGAAATAAAAGTAACTAAG